TCCCCCCCCCCCCCTCCCCTTTGTAGATTATATACTTATTAAGGCTTATTTTACGGACAATTAAAACAACTTAAGGGACTTTTACAATTATTCCGAATTCAGTGGGCAAAGGCCCACAGAATACTATCCGATCGTTACGAAAAGGAATGTGATACTTCAGTAAACCTGATCGAGTGAAATTTGTTTAATTGAAATTTCGATGACCTTGGCTAAATAAAAGTAATAAATATACCAAAATATATTATTTATTGCATGATTTGAGCCGAGGGCTTAACCCGAAAAAAATTCGAACACCATAGGTCGAATCCTGTAGACCTTAAATTTGACAAATAAGCATGAAAGTAATAATTAAATATCCATTGCAGTTAGTCAAATTAATATCAATATTCGGAAATCAAAATTATGAATAGAAGAGTGAATTGACCGAAAAAAGAATATTCAAAACTTGAAAGAGGAGAGTAGTGGCAACTATTTTTTTTATTAACTGGATTTTTGGTCAAACGGTCACCTTTTCAAAGGTGGCATGCATTAAAATACAAATCCGCACTGAAAGCTAGCCTCCTGTTGAGAAGACCACTGATTGGAAGACCAATATTTGGTAACGTGATTACCAAAATAACCCAGGTGTGTACAAATTATTGGACGATTTGAAGATGTGTTATTGGTTATTGCTACTTGGATGCAAGGGAACATTACCCAAATTTGATTGGTCTGCAGGGCCTGGTACCTATGACACTTAGACGGTTGTATTGCCATTACTGTGCGATCCCATCTTTCGTTACACCTCTTATTCTCCTTCCTTCCTTTCTCCCTCCAACTAAATGAATTTCTGGTTTCCCGCTGTGGTAATTTTGGCCGGGATTGTGGCCTACCTTTGTGTGACCCCAGGCCCGAGGATTTTTGAGCAGGAGATGGTACTTAATCAACAAGCTATGCGATGTTTCCGATTTGTCACGGATTTCAATCGGTATCCCTCATGGTTGGACTCTGTTAAATCTGTGACTTCGGATGTTGATCCCTCGAGTGCAATGGTTGGAACGGAATTCGAACTCCTTTTCTCGAAAAATTATGTCGGTAGGTGAAGCATTTCTCTAAATATTGATTTCTAAGAATAGTATTAAATTTAAAACATTATGATAAATAACATTACGCTATACATTTGTTCAGCAATTTCACGGCAATCATGTGAAAAGGAATGTTGGAATAGTTTCCACCAATAGCGAATAAATACAGGTTCGGACGTACGTGCGCTGCGTGGGATCTCGTTAAAACATGCGAATGATTATAGAAAATCGATGAACGTGAAAATTTTAGCACTGAGACCATTAAAGTCGTCGATGCACTTTGATTTATGTGGATTGGGAAGGCCTAAATTTCCCTTTATTGCATACAAAGTTGTCTCATTCACTTGTTTAGTTTATTGTTCTTTTAATAAAAAGAAACTATGTTTACTAATCAACTAGGATAGAAAGAAGCGCTTATAATTATTCCGTCTACTGTAAAAGAGAGAATAAAATTCATTTTATCTCAAATGACAATTGCAATTGGCGTCTCCGAGTTCTCAGAATCTGCTATTTTGAAATATTCGAAGTGCAGGGCCTGATTAAGGCTAGGTTTTGAGGGCAGGCAAATAGATATTGATCTTACTTGTTTAACATTCACATAGTAAATCTATGAAATTCAAAAATTTCTTGCAATTAGTTTAATGCTTAAAAGTTCACACTCTGACACCAGCCCTTTCGTTATAATTTAATCGTCTGTCAATTGAGTGCATGCAAAGATCACCTCTCTATTGCTTCGCCATGCACTTTTCATTCCAGTTTAACAAATATAAGTTTAAATTTCTCTTGGGTGGGGGGGTGGGGGGTGGGGAAGGAGGGTAAGGATTGAATCTGTACCGTCAACGACTTTTCTTTGCCATTACAATTTACCCCTCTCCTTTATCTGAAGGGTTTGGGGTCCTTATTAGGTTATCGATTTGCGCTACGGAAAGCGCTTCCAATTTTACTTTTTCCAATTTCGAATTTCAAATTTTGGGTTTTTCGGCCTCTGCGTTGGGGACCTACTGGCCATTAAATTATTTTTGGATAGTAAGTTGCGCTAACCAAGCTCAACTCCACAAATCGTCGGTTTACTGGAAAATTGACGCAATGGAGACGAATAAAATTAGTGCATACTGAAGCTTTGTCATTCTCTATGGACAATGGTAACATTGCTCAACTGAATAAAGATTAAAATTTATTTTTTTGATATTTACGGAGTGAAACCCATCAATCCTACTTGATTTAGACACCTGTCAATAACCTTCAAACATGATAGGCGAAAAGTTATCGCAATCCAGGTAATGCGATAATGGAATTTAAGCTCTTTTTGGGCGCGAGCCGGCCAACTAGTTGATAATTTTCCACCTAAATTCCAAAATCAAATTTCAAAAAACTCTCTCTTTACTTAATGTTACTATCAGCATCGACTTGATCCAAGCGTAGAAACACGTTCAGCTTTATCAAACCAATTATATCAAATAAAATGTCGAATGCATATTGCGTTTCTAGACTGACTATTCTATGTACTACCATCTTAGTCACGACTGTCATCACCTGGTTCTCATTGAGAGGGTGTTAAACACCTAGTTGCTATTTCATTAAATCTTTTGGTAAATAGGTAAAGAATTGCCCCTTCCTTGGACGAAAATGCTCTTGAATTCTGTTGAAAAGGCTGGTCGAAAACAGTCAGAATTCCTCACACAGAAAGCTGACAGCTATTTGCACATAATTTATAACTTAAATATTTGCTGCAATTCCCTATAACTTATTGAAACAAGTTTTGGTATTGTGAAGTGAAACTCAAAGATTTCTATCCAGTAATCGATTTTCTTGAGTAACAGAGAACAATTGAAGCTTAGTAAGCGGACATATGACTAGATATCCTACATTATTAAGAATGCTTTGTGTTGTCAGAAACCAAACAGCCATGTACGATTTGGATCTAATTTTACAGATGGTTTTCGGCAGGAAAAAAATCAAATTAAGGTAATTACGCTATTAATGCTTATTTTAAAATGGTAATTCAATCTACTGAGCTTAAAATGTAGCTTTATAGCATTAAGTCAACTCACAAAATCGATAAGGGACCACTTCAGTGATTGATGCGACAAAACCAATCGCCCGTGAGAAGGCCACTGGAAGTACGTAAGCACATTTCTGATCTCCTGGTTAGAGTCTGTGACAATAAAACAGTTCGCATGATATCTGGATAGATTCGACGATGTGCAATTTGACGAGATTGACTTCCCGCTTTGGTACTGTCTATCTAGAAGGTTACTTCCAGGGGTTTTAGAGGAATTATGGTTTTTGATACGTGTTCAGAAAAAAACCGGCATTTATTTTCAATCACCAACGATAGTGTTTATTGCCATATTGGATATATTCGCTTCAATTCGTCTTAAAAGCAAATGTGTTTCTCCGTGTCTGTGGAATTTTGTATTTTTCATTCCACCTGTTTCTTCAGACCTAGAAGAAATTTCAAATGCACGAATCATTAAAAACCTTTCATAGGGAAGATAATTATTTATCCGAACCAATGAATAGCCTTGCACAGTACGCATTTTGTCTTTCGTAATTGGATATTACCATTTAAAGTTCCTCCATCATTAAATTTACCCTCTCTGCTGTTATTTTCGTGGATATGTTGACGATGTAAGCTGGAAGTGCATATCATTTGAAGGCAAAAATGCAAAATATCGAAATTTGCAATACTGGATACTTTAAACTGACATTTTAATATTTTCTGCCTAGCTACAATTTGAAGCAAAACAGATAATAATAATAATTATTATTATAGACGAATTTTCCCCATAGTTTTTTTCTACATATTTAATTAGTAATGCCCAAGTTCAGAATGGAACTCTTTTAGCAATCTTATGGCTTAGATAGACATGGTTTTAAACACCACAACAAACATTCTGAGTCTAGATTGAGCAATCGGGGCATTTCAATTGATTTTGGGATTGACAAAAAAACACCCGCATATGATGACTGTCAAGGTTTGAATAAATCCAGGCTGTAGTCTACAACAGTCATTGGTAATTCAAGGAGGGTAAAGAATGGGAGGATTAGGATTTATTGGCAAAGGTGGCTTGAGAACTGTTGTTGTTATAGTTTTTCTTTGTTTTAGAAAACAACAAAATGAAGGCTGAAGTCCTCGAGATTGTTGAAGGTATGCGATTTTCGATTGGATTGAATGATCTCATGCAGTCGGTGATGAATTTCACCGTTAAGAGCTTGCCCAAGGGGTCCTGCAAGATTACTGTCACAATGTCCTCTAGGAAAAACAATTTCCTCTCAAATGTAAGTCACCTTCTCAAGTTGATAATTGAATTGTTAGTTATAAAGTTAAAATCAGTAATGCGCTACCATAGAGGAAACTTGAGAATCTCAAATTCCTAATTTCCATGTGCTGACACCATAAGTTCTATTTAATTATTAGTATCAATTACGATTCAATGAAATTTAGCATTATTTCATTGTGAGAGTGTATTGGAAAACAAGATACTTCAAAGTTGAATCAATGAAAAAATTCACAAACATCAAGTGGACTGTGATTAATTTGAATCTTGGATTCTAGTGTGAAAATGTTGTCGGTACTTTTATCGTAATGCCTCTCTATAGTTTTGTGATTTTAATTCATTGGAAAATTTCAAAATAATATGGAAAAAATATATATTTTAGTTAAAATGACCAACACACTGGCGCGCTCACGATTAAAGTCATTGAGTTAATGAGAACCGAGGGAGTTGCAACTTATTGACAATATGACTTAATTAATTTAAGTTAAAATTTAATTTTTAAACTTTGGTGCATAATTAAAGTCAAATTTTAATTTTATTTTAAGATTCATCTCAAATTACATGAGAGAAATGCACTAGTTACTAATATTGAATACTTAAGGTCTGTGTTGTTTTTATGTGCTGCGTTTTAAAAATTTTATTCAATAACGGTTTTAAATTAATTGAAATACTTATTTATTTCAAATGGCAGGCGTTTTGATAGTCATCATAAGCCATTTAGCTGACTTCGGGCTTCACAGAGATTAGGAGTAACATCAAAGTGACAAAAAGTCGAGATGGGGGACAGAATAATGATTCACGGATGTAACAGAAACAGACAAAAAAGCAGAGAAAAGGTAAGATGAGTACTGATGAAGTGGTCGAATTCGACATACTGTGGGATGATGTTAGTTTGAAGTCAGAAGCCAACTGCCAGTCAATAGACTTTTTGCCGTATGAGAATACGTTGCCCAGGTTGCACCACGTGGAAGTAAGTCTATCACACACCCCTTAATTGAAGTATAGAATGCTTCAAATTCGATATTGTTATAAGGTCAGTTGCTAAATCTGCAGAATTATTCCTTGAAAAAATTATATTAACGATAATTTTAAGCGGAAAACGTCAACTTGTTAGTGATGTTTCTTTACAACTTTCAATCATCCAACTCCTATTCACAATATTGGTACGAAATGGAGGCTTTTTGTGATTAATAATGCCTCATAATATTGACAATGAATTATGCTTTTGGTTGTCAATAGGACGTGCGTGTATTTGAGCAAGATCTCGTAAAAGTAAAACACGAATCGGACGAAAATTGGACAGTGGAATACATCAGGATGCATCGAAAATTCCATTGCTTGACTCACTTTTTTCAGCTCGTAGTCTGTGCTGTTTCCTAAAATCAAGCTTGATGAAAATCGCTTTTCAAGCTAGTCACAGTCCATTAGATTAGTAATCACGACGACAACGCTAAAATTTTCTTTCAGAAAATTCAGAATAATCAAAGCAATTCCCCCTCCCCCACATCCTCCACCCCTCCACTTATCATATCATTTAGATATCTTCAACTTTTTAATAATGAGACCCATCAAATGTGTCCTGAAATGTATAGCTTTAAGCAAACTGATTGATTCCATTACTTTTTGTGTCGGCATTTCAGATCTCTCAGCACTTGGTAAAAGTATCTGCCATGGAAATTCATGCACCCCTTAGTTAGATAAAAATAGAACGACCTTCAAAGTGTGCAAATTCTTGTTTCCGCAAAAATGCCCTATTTCCAACTTGAAGACATGGAAATCAATGAGGATGAAAACGTTATTTTCGAAATAATTGAATTTCAAAAAGATATATTTGATTTCACCAAAATAACAATTAAATAGTGCGTATTAATGGGAAGAATGCTTTGCGTTTGGGAACTATCATTACAAGTTGACAACAGGTAGGATAGAATGTCCATAGTTTTGGAATTGTTGAGATGGGAGAATGGTATTGTGCTTGAATAATAGGCGAAGTTTGTTTAAATATATCAAATGGCAGGTGTTCTAATGATTATCACAAGCCCTTTAGTTGACTTCAGGCTTCACAGGGGGAAGAAACATCAAAGTGAAAAAAGTTGAGAGGGTTGGGGGAGGGGGGAACAGAAGAGTATTTCAAAGACGAGGGTAGAAAAGGTAGATAAAAGGTGAGGTGGGTACAGTGAAAGTGGTCGGATATAACATACATTGAGGTCATTGCAGTTTGAAGTCTAAAGTCAACTCCCGATTAATAGACTGTTTTGTCGTTTGAGTATACGTTGCCCAGGGTGCGCCACGTGGAGGCAAGTCTATCGCACACCCCATAATAGGCTAAGGAGACCGTCTTAACAGGTCCCATTTTTAAGTAGAACGTCATTGAGTATTGAAACACAGGAAAACCTTTTTTTGTCCTGCTACCTGGTATATGAAATAGGTCACCTTAAATAGGTGCAAATTAATTATAATATATAAAATATTTATTTAAAATTCAAATTATTTCGCCTCGTGGATTGTGGAATAAAAAGAGGTGTAGAATGCCCCTTTTATTTTACCAAAAATATGAATACCTAATTGAGACAAAAGTCACAATTTTATCCCAAAAATTTGTTAATAATTTATTATTATTAATAATAAAATTGCAGTATTTTTAAAAATGCCATATTACAGGATTTTTTAAGTGCTCTAGTTTGGGGCGGAACTTACCCTCCTTAAGTCGATTATGTGCGATGGTTTAACTTGGGGGAACGTCGGGTATTCTGGTAGGCTAAAGAGGAGAAAAGCTAATTCAACCTGCATTCAATTGAATAAAGACCTAACGTGATTCATCTTCGCCAAAACCTTCTGTTTCTATGTCAAAACTGCGAAAAAAACGAGTTTCTATTCAGGCATTCCAGTGATTATAGTTATGGTATTATAAATCCTAGTGAAATTCCCTCGTCAAATTGTGTAGTTTCCTTTAACCCCTAGTACAAAGATTTAAAAGCAAAAAATTGACTAAAATTCCATCAATTCCATTTTTGTCGGTATGTCACTATTTACGTATCTACAGAGCTGTCATATTGTTCAAATCAAACAAAAATCACTATTCCATCAAGCGGAGCATCTTTTGCTGAAATTGATACGCCAACCGTGAAATGCGATGTGAATGTGTTGATGTTCGATTTAAGTGACTTTTAAATCGCAGTTCTTACATTAGTCTAACAGTTTTCATTAATCATTTAACTTACCCGCGGGACACCCAATCTAGTCAAACGAATCGATTGAATTTTCACATTCACATCTGGTTAGAGTTCGTTGCTGTAATTAATAACTACCCAGGTAGTTCCATAAAAGCACTTTTTTGTCAAATGAATGTCTGTTATCTCGTATTCATCTTGCCTAGTTATTACTTAAAGAGACACTTTGCAAGATTAGCCCAGTGATTGGAAAACAAAGTTCATTCACAGAATTTGTTGAATTTTGCCTCAATGGCGATTTGAGTACTGGACAAGACGCTGAGGCATTACCGCTAATCAACAAATGAATTAATTGAATAAGTAATTTTTCATTTTTTGTTGATTGGTTTTTCAAAATTAAATTAATGGGGGCGGGGGGGGGGGCGAGAGGGTTCTTCCTGAAAGTCCCCTAGTTATATTTTTATGGTATCCCTCTCAAAGGTCAAACTGTCTGCAATCAACTACAACTAGCCTCCTGTAGAAGTATCCAGTAACTGGAACACATAATATGCCGAGTGAAAGGAGTTTATTGCAAAAGTGGGCATGCTAGTAGCATGCTTAATCATTAAACACGTTTCATGCAACGTAGAATGAATATTAAGCTTTGATTGGCTGGCAGGCCTTTGCACGCACCCGCTCTTGTTCACGTCGTGATCGGCATCACGAACGCACTTTCTGGAATGTTCTGACGCAAACAAGATTTCTTTCGACAGCCTTGATGACATTGTGTACACACCACAAGTGTTAAAATACCTAAATTTTTACATTCAGCTTTGATTAACTATGGTAGTTTCACCGCCAATGGCTGCCCCATGATAAGCTTCGTTTGAAACGCGGCTATGCGAGCATGGTCGACATCAAAAGTGTAGACGAACCAGATTCCAATTGATGATGACACTTAACATTGAGCATTGTTGCCAACACGTTACTCAAACAGGTTTGAGATTTTCGAATGCCCATGTGAGCGTACAGAAGGATTAAAACAAAGTAACATAAGATAGGTCTTTATATGTGATTAATTAATTAACTAAGTTAAGAGTTTAAAGTACAGCATAATTCGGTATCTGAATGACTTCATTGAAACAATAGTCCTAAAAGCTATGACCTTGGGCAGAAAATTTAGGCAGTGTCATTTTTTAATTAATTTATAAATTTAATCAAGTTCACATATCTCGGAATGACTTTTGACACAAAGCTAACGTGGAAAAGTCACATTGCTAAAATAGCAGAACGAGTCTCCAATAGACTGAATATACTGAAGTGTCTTGCTGGTAGCGTATGGGGCTGTGCACGCTCAACTCTCAACACCACTTACAAGATGTTTATTCAGCCAATAATGTTGTATTGCTGTGAGCCACTCATTACAGCCTCAGAGGTGACTCTCAAACCCCTCGAGAAGGCACACAATCAAGCATTACGACTAATTACTGGAGGGATAAAATCAACACCCATTGATGCAATGCTCCTAGTTACAGGAAGCACCACAATAGGTTCCCTTATCAAAGAAAAGGCCTTGATCCTGTACGAGAAGCTACTGCGCATTCCCATGGACAAGTTCTTCAGCACCTATGAGAATGGACCAAGACACCTGAAAACGCAATCTGGTCTAATACAGAAAGCCATAGAACTGAAGAAAGCATTACAAATCGATGACAAACCAAAAAGCCTCTCTCCCCCCATGAATCCATTAGCAGACACTGATGTAGTTGACACACTTGGTAAGAAGGGGATAACGATTTTGCAATGCATGGATCGGCCGAAGTCTTTCCACACAATGAAGGCCTTAATCAGGAGAGAATTCCAGACCTCAAGGTACAACGAAATTAAAGCTCGAACAAAGGAGAAACAGTGGACAGTGGCAATCTCCGACATACCCGACTGGCCAAGAATTGAAGCCGTTGGTGAGTTTAGACTACGTACCGGACACGATTGCTTGGCAAAACACCTTCACAGATTGGGAGTATACACTCAACCCACATACCCTCTATGTAACCTACAGGAGGAAATGGAGAGGACCCACCTGATTCAGTGTCCAGCCCTAAAGACAAGTATGGAAAGCCAAAGATACTGGGAAGCAAGAAGACAGCTAATGAATAGCTATTAATTAACTGCTATAAATGTACCCCCCCCCCCTTCTTGGGGGAAGCTGAAGTCAAAGATTAAGGGCTAATGATAAATATCATAAAGCCTGCCATTTGAAATAAATAAATTTGACCAATTAAATGATTAAACTAGTATTTATTATATTTCAGTCTTTAATATTACTTTAATTGCGGTATAATGTTCAGAGTTAAAAGTACTCTCTAAAATTTCAAATATTTTATATTTATAATACTATCGCTAAATGGATTATTGCATCACAGATTTTATCAAACTTTTTCTAATTACTCATTTCGCTTATTTTAACGCCTAAGTGACATTTCAGTTATATTAAGCATTTCTCAAACACTTTCATCGAATGACTCACATTTCTGGTTGAGAAATCTAATAGTTTGAAGAAAGTGAGATAAATGTCATCCATTTTTATCTTCTATTTCTTGTAGAATTTCATAATCCCGGCTGTTCGAATGTCCTTCTACAACTGGATGCTAAAATCTCTGCTCAAGATGAAAGTGATTATACACTGAAGTTCTGTCGAACCAAGTAAATGAACATAGACGCTAATCAAACGAAGATGTATGCAGGATCTCCCTCCAACTAATCAACCCTTCCCCCCCCCCACTCCCCACCCACCAAGACCAAACTGCTAGAGTCAAATCTCCAAACTACAAATATCAGAGAGTAGAAAAAGAAATTTGAGTAATATCTTTATGGCAATTTGCACCGTAGCCTCACTTTTCTTCCTTCTTTCATAGGCCTTCGATACTTCGCATTCATCCTTTCCTTCCTTTCGTCTTCTTGTATTTGCACTAAAATTCTGCTGCTTTTGCGAAGAAATAAAAACGAACAACAAAACCGAAACTCGAATTCTGCCTTTCATTTTGCTTAGCAAAATGAGAAAGGTGTATGGGGAATTCCTTTACTTTGTTTTACACGAAACTCTGGCAGGATTGAAATGCAAGAATGCGCGTATCTTTCACAGAGTTTTGAAATAGAACAAAGACAGTTGCGTCCAAAAATAATTTATCGTTACAACTAACGTGCTTACCATTATTAATGACGACCTTCTCTTGTATTTGAACCCTAAGCAGGGAAGTATAAATGATACGATTTCCTCAACACTGATAAACATTCCAATAGGTTATATTACTATATAGCAATAAGTAATAATAATTATTTAGAATAAATTAACATTATATTGCATAAGACTCAAAATTGTGTCAACTCGGTTTCAACTTATTATATTGGCTATCATCCTTTCAAATACAATTCTTTTTGAAAGGATTTGATTATGTTCAGACTATACTACTTCCAATGATTCAGTACAATAGAAGATAGAAAATCGAAGCAACTGTCAAGGTTTATAAACTTTAGACGGAACTTCTGACAATTTGATTTCCATTGGCGTTGGCAACGCAACAACACAAAGTCAACAAAGCTATGAAACTACTTTAAAAGTGACATTTAAAGATCTGATTTTAGTTCGATTTCTCAATTATTTTTAAAATGCCATTAAAGAAAGGGTACCTACTCAGATGATCACAGAATTTTCAGTTTATTAAAACGCAATTTCTTACTTCTGCGGTTAATGTCAAGGTTCTTTGCCAGTTTTTCTGCAAATAACGCATTTCACCAAATTGTTCTTTAAAAACTGGCTAATTTCAGCATTCTTGCTGAAGAATTCCCACTGTACTCCGAATGGTAAATTCATTAAATAAATAATTAATGTTCATTTTTATTAATTCGGAGTGGAGCAGAATATAGTGTAGGTAATTGTACGAGCTCAGATTGGACTACATTTTCAATCATATAAATAATGCTCTTCTTTTCGGTTCAAGAGCCAGGTCGGATCTCCAGTTTATTGGAAAAGCTACGACAAATCAGGGTCTGAGGAACAATGTATATTGATGTTCACTGTGGTGGTAGGAGGCCTTAATCGTTCACTGCGCAGAGACCCAGCATGGCTGGGGTCAGAGTTTGAAGCAGAGGTACAAGTGAGAAAGGGGGCCATACAATTTAATAAGAGTGTTTAATGACTAAATAATATTAAGCACAATTTGCCAATATTTCCAGCTTAGTTCTTCATCGGCTGCCAGTTGGAAGTTGGATCACTATGATGGAACTGTTAATGAAGTCAGAAGTCAGAAGTTGGGGGGGGGGGGGCAAACTAAGACACTTTGTCGAAATTTTATTGCGTCAGTAGAGCGGAAATGAAATACAAGCAAATAACGATACCAAAAAGTTCCGAGAGAAGTTTGGCATCTTACCTCACAATTTTCTTATAACTTAGAGTACTTGTTAACTTACAAATTCTATGAATAAATCCGAATGAGGTCTAAATTAGCGACTAGCTCTTTGTAATTTAGTTATATATAGTAGTTTAGACAATTGAACCGACTTTTTTTGATGACTCTAAAAAGAAGCCATAGATACCATACTCTGAATTATTTTTTTTTTCATTTATCTCTTCAGTGTTAAATCGATTAATATGCGAAATAACTGTGTAGAGGTCTCTCACAATCTTCACCCGCACACACACACACCCCGAGAAATGTTATCGTTCATTCATCTTTCGATAATTTGCTTTTTTTAAATATATTGCTTCTTGATACACGTTGCGCAGTCATTTCATCTACACCCACAGGAGCGAACAATCATATCTGGTCTGTGATTAAGTACAACTTGGTTGTCCGCCTGGAAGAAGAGCATGGGCAAGTCGTCCAGTTCATGAGGCACACAACATGGGAGGGGAGGCGGCGTCAACACTCGTGCTTTCTGGGTATCGACGGAAGTTAGGCCAGCAGAACCTATGGATTGAAGGTACCGCGACCATACACTTTGAATCACCGCGTGGTTGGTGGGGTTGCTTTCTTTACCGAGGGGAAATGCGCAAGTACCGACACAGACTCCAGCATCAATGGTCACCGGTGCAAGGATCCAATCGGTCATATTGAGCTTGGAAAAATCGATGATCATCTTTCGTCTCCTGCATTGTCGTTGTCGGCTCCTTTTAAGATGAACCTGTTTAGGAGAAGAATGACAAATGAATAATGCTACCACTACTAATAAATTTAAGTAGATTAATTTGTCCACTTACGTTATTCCTTTTAGATCGTTTTAGAAATTGAGGTGTTGAGGTTGGTTTGGATTGGGGATAATCTTGCATGTACAACCGATTGTAATGCCAAGGATCATTGAGAACCACGTCTTCAGCTGCAATGCCATTGTCTGAGATTTTAAACTCGCATAATAATAATGAACTATATAGAAAGCTTTTTATTCTAAGAAGTACTAAGCTTTCATATGGATTTAAGGTCTTTTCTTTGTTAAAGCTCATTATTTAAATAGGGCAAGTGGATATGAAAAATAAGATTGAGGACCAAGAAGCATTAAGGTTGTCAACTCTGTGAGCAGGCGACCATCTGCCACATGATGATTTGATCTAGCCAATGGCCACACAGAGTTTCCAGTGCGGATTTCCCATTGGTCTACTCGTCGTGTGACCATGGGCTTCGTTTCGGTCTACCAAGCTTGTAAGTCCATTTCCAGCCCTATTGGGACTTATGGTAAAGATGATGGAGGACTTAAAGACAACCTATGGAAGTTAAAAATCAACCCCACCCCCCCCCCCCCCCCCCCCTCGCCCTCCCTCGACCAACACAATGAAAACACTGTAACTATGGGCTCTGTTTCGCCAATTACACTTCGTATGTGCCTACTTACTAGTAATGCTATACACTCCTTAATGTGGACAGAAGTTAGCACGTTTATTTTTACCAATCTCACACTCTAACTCGAATATTTTCTCAACTGAAAATGTCACTGAGTTAGTTTTCATATAAATTCGCCACTTGTGTTATATTGTTACGTAGCTAATAAAGTGTAATACGCTATTATGACACCTCAGCGTTCCTCCAATTCAACTTTGCTGGTGTTCCAAAATGATCGACTTGAATTCATCTCGCCCAAGACAATGGAAATGACAACATGTGGGTGATCATATGACAGTCGTGGCCTACCTTTAGACTGGACAGCATTTGAACGGGATTTTCGTGGTGGCCAGGTACGACAGTAGACAATCAGACTTGGTTGAAGTCGTCTGGCATTTGGATTGTTGGGCTGTATGACATCCACGTCATCTCTTTCTTTAATTGGGGTTCCATCGCAGTTGGTCGCCTTCAAAACCAGACCTGCAAGAGACATTAAATGTCCTCAAAATTAAAATCTCACTTCTCTGAGTGGAATATTTGGGTCGAGGGTGTGCGATAGACTTACCTCCACGTGGTGCACCCTGGGCAACGTATACTCATACGGCAAAAAAGTCTCTTAACCGGCAGTTGACTTTTCACTTCAAACAACCATCTCCCTCACTCTATGTCATATTCGACCCCTATCACAGTACTCATCTTACCCTTTCTGAGCCTTTGTGTCACTTCTCTATTGCCCCTCCCGAATTCTTCTCACATTGATGTTCCTCCTCCACCCCCCCCCCTCTGTGAAGCCTGAAGTCAACTAAAGGGCTAATGAAAACTATCAAAATGCCTGCCAATTGTTATAAATAAATAAATAAATAAAATATTTGGGTCGAAAACCATAGGACATCAAATTCCAACTCTACTGAATTGACCTGCATCTCGTTGAACTCCTAAGCAAATTGGTAAACTTTATCCAGGCGCCTAACTATGCCTTTGTATCCCCTACAAATTCTTCCCATTGTGAATATGTATGAATAGCCTCATTAAGCCAATCCTAGGGAGATGCTGGCATGTTGCTTTATTGTAGTGTTTATTGCTGACAAAGACATACACTCTCCCTCTTTGCGGTAATAGCAACAGCAGTTGTGTATTATGCTACAGCTGATAAATATTGGGCTATTTTTGTGCTTTCAGTTTAATTATCTCCCCATTTTAAGAGCTCATAAGGGAACAAGTTCCCTCCTACCTCTAGGCATGCATAAAACGTGAAAAATTATGTGAACTCGATCATTTTCTAGCGCAGTCTTTAGAATACTCCACATTTTTAGTTAGATCTTGCAGCGATGCTCAAAATGGTTAGATACACTCTGCCTGAATGTGGTACTAATTCAATCCTTGGGAGGCGTTTGAACTCTGAGAAGCCTTAAGTTGACTCGAAAAATAGGATAGCTCAAATGTCAAACTGTCGGATTTGTTCGTAGAGCCAATGTACCTTTACTAACATTCATGATTTTAGAACGATAGAGATTTAGTTAACTAAATAATTGAGATGTAAAATCATGATTTTAAGTTTAAAAGGTGCGATAATGGATTTACATCATATTGGATTCTTACATTTTGCTATTTAAAGCAATTTTCCAAATATGAAATATGAACGACATAAAAGTTGTAAAAATTGAAAGCATGTCTCACACGTCTGATCCAAAATCGATCAAAATTTGCGCCAAATGTTTGTAAATAGTATTTATAGTAGTAGCTTCGAAATAAGAAGTGCAGATTGAAAACTTGGTTAAACTTTTAAAATCGCGATCCAAATTTCAAAAATAGAATGTAGGAAACAATGTTAACAAATATTTATTTTGGTAAATATTTTAGGGTGCAATTTAGAAGAGTCTATTCAAAAACAGAAAAGGTGGAAGAGACTTCTTTAATTCTAATTACAAATTAATAGTTTAATAATTTTCTTAAAGTATTCTATTCTATATTCACACAGTCAAACAATCATATTCACTATCCCTCACATTTACATTTTAATCAAATTAAATTTGTTTTACGAATCACCTAACAAATTCATTAGCAGAACTTTCGGTTTGATAGAATCTTTCAGGCAATTCAGCCAACTATAACATCAGTCATTTATTGTATTGTAAAAAAGATGGTTTGGTGTCATATTGCCTGTGAGATAACGACCAATATATGCAAAATTTTTTTATAGTTCGAACAAATTTAATGCTGCACCACATTGTAAATACTTTGCCTCATTTATCAAGCGCCATATCTAACTATCACCATTCTAAAAAATATGCTACTTTATTGTCCAAAAAATCCATTGTTAATTGTAAATGAGGAACGGTGAGTGCGGCTCAAGGACATTTCTTAAATTTTGTCATGCAAACTGACGACCGGACATTAGTCGATTAATATAAAATATTTAAAAAAAACTGTTGGAAGTTCACATGATCCACATCCACGTTCAGAGAAGATGAAGAAGAAGGAGAAACGCGAAATATTTAAATTTTATACGAAAATTTGAGCTTACTAAAACCTGTTTTCAACCCCCCCCCTATCTCCCAATAAAACAAGAATTATTACAAATTTAGCGATAAAAAAGCTCTCTCTCAAGGTAAAATTTGTTTTATAGATGAAAATTGCTTGAACACATAAACTAAGAAACAAAAATTGTTTGAAATTACCTAACACTTTTGAAATATGAGTGAAGCATTCAAGAATGAATGTGTGCACCCTGAAGAGTTTCACATTCGTCATCTTACCCGTAGCTTATCACTGTATTTCTAATGGATTTTCCCTTGTGGTGGATATTTTTATGTTACTTTCAGTTATTTGCAAAATTCGGTCTATTTTTAGCCCAAAATATTTCTCGCTGTCATAACCAAACACCTTTATTTTACCTCTCGCAAAAAACAATAAAATTAAGTCATCTTTAGCTTTCTAGTAAATTTAAATCTTCAAATACTAATTCGAAATATTATAATATAATTAAATGTAAAAAAATTGGCTAAAACTCCATTATGTTAATATTTCAATGAATAATTGTAGCAGTTAAAATGAAATGACAAAATATTTCATTTATGAAATATTAGCATTTTTGTAATAAATATTGTACATTCCCTTTCCCTTACTAGTAAATATAAATTAAAATCAAAATGATTAATTTTAATATAATATGAGCAAGCGCCAGAAAAATCAAATGATTATTTCATTATGATTAGGAGGATATTTAACAATTTTGAGGCTAAATTTAAGTATCAACTCACCTCTATTATTCTGGTTTGACTGAAGCCAGTAATTGAGGATTTTGTTGGCATTGAACACCATCCATCCATAGAAGTGCCGAAAAATTCGCTTAATTTCAATCAATTCCAGCGTCTCCTTTCCCTCGGCATCAATTTTTACGAAGTATAATTTAAGCTGTAAGTAGAAAGTTGGGGAGTTGAATAAATGGTCTAATTCACAGTTACGACAAAAATGTGCAGAATGGCACGAGGTGGCTTAGAAACCCTCCCACCC